CCCCATCTTTATTCCTCCATCTCGCCTTCCACTTTGCCATCTCTCTATCTTTTCTTCTGTCTGTGCTTACTGCAAAAGTTTTGCAGGCGACTTTTCAGAGTGCAGAGCACTGATCAAAGCCCAGGTCCTGTCCCACGCCCTGAGGGGTAGATCCAGTCTGTGCAGAAAGCACAACTGAGAAATGCCTGTGCCTGGTTTTCAAAAGCTAACTAAATAAAATATGCTCCCTATTCACAGTATATCACTGTTTTTCCGATAAAAAAACCTATTTATATATTTATAAGTTTATATATAATATAGACCTCAGTTTGACATATAAAATGTCTCAATGTGTGCTCTTTTTACTGTATAGGTATATGCCAAACTCCAAGTGGATTATTAATAACTTTTGTTTTCAGCAGTCTCCTGCAGACCTGTAAATACAGACTGTAAACCTGGAGTTATCAGTCTGTGCCTGCACCTGTCTCACTGGCATTAAAAGGGATCTTGTGTCCAGCATAGACAAGAAAGCTGAAGAGCCAGCTGGGACTGGGTCCCTCTTGTGCTGAGCGCAGAACATGACAGAGAACAGTAGGGAAGCCCGTACCCTACAGAAGTAGCAGTACAAATGTACCAGAGGCATATGAGAAGCAGCAGCAAACAGAAGAGCAAAGTGAGCTCCTTCTGGAAATCACTTTCCAGTTAGCCAGACTCCTTCAGCAGTCTCCAGCTGCAAATCAGGCTTCACTAGAAAAGTTTATCCATTGCAATCTTCTGGATAGTCACCCTTAAGACTCTTGACATCTTAAATACATGTGATCCAAAATGAGATGAAACTTTCCTGATCTTTGACTTTGGGCAATTAGGCCATCTAACAAAATCAGAAAATGCATGTCTCTCTGGTCTTTTGTGTGCCTGAGCCTTGGTAATTCTGAGACTTTTTCTCCCAAGTATTCAAATGAAGAAAATCACCAAAATTAAATCTTTCTGGTGAAAAAACTTGGTTTCAACAAATTACCTCTTAAAAAAAGCTCCCTGTAATTCCTGTCTATTTTTGAGTAAGGATGTTAAAGGCAACATTTTTAACATCTTAAATCTGTGTGTCTGGTTGAAGCAATGGCTTCTGACTGTCTAATATTGTTTCAAAGCTTTGCAGCTTGTTTTAGAATAAATTGGATTATTTTTTTCCATTTATTTATTTCTTCTTGCAATGCCAAAGAGAAAGAAAATGAGTGAAACTTTTTCCATGAGTGGCTCTTCAGTCCATTTCTTTGTCAGATAGATACATTAGTGTTTGTCACAGGCATAAATCCAGCCGTTCCCCATTCATAACACACACTGAGGTGTGCCTTCCTGGCTTATATGGTGAGCTCCACACTTTAGGTTTGAATTGGGTCCATCTTGTGTTCAACTGGGAACAAATCCAAGTCTGTCCATAATGGAAATTTAGCAAAGTGAGAAGCAGAACAACACTTGCTGGACTGAAAGTGACTGGAAGAGTGGAGAAACTGAGAAACACAGACAACTAGAGAAAGTCATTAAACAGCACAGAACTGACGTATAGGGGATATAATCAATTGTAATAATGAAGTAAAAGACACATCAAGGTCATTGGTTCATTGGAGACTTCCCTTCTATTGCTGTTTAGCTAGTGCAGTTTTGCTATTTTTTTTTTCCCATCCAGTAGAACTGTGTTGCTCCAAGAGGCTTTTCAGGAGTTTTCATTTTGGAATAGAATTGTTATCGTGATATAGGTTTTCCTTCTTAAACCATTTGGAATACATAAATACTGTAGATAGTGCAAGAAAAGAGGAAAAGGAATTAGATGGCGATGAAAGATTCTCTTTCTCTAGAAGCAGAAGAAATGACCATATTTAAAGGTTATTTCAGCAATCCAAGGGATTTGTTTCTAAAATCATGGGAATCACAAGATAATATGGTTTCTGTTCCTAGAGGGCAGGATGAGCCAATTTTTTCCCCAAGGGATAAAATCCTTGTCTTCATCAAAGTCAAGACCACTGCCTTCTACGTGCACTGGTATTTCACCCCCAAAATTCAGAAGTTCCCTGCATCCAAAGGCACCATTGCCCTGCACAACCATAGCAACCAGGTGCTTTGGAAAATTTGCCCCAGTGAGAGGTAGAGAGCTCTTTAGAAAACCTGCCTTCCTCTGTACTCAGTGAGACTGAGTGATAGTTCCAGGGAAAACTGTCTCCTGAACACCTGGTGTTGAAATTCTTTGCTTTAACCTTCCATCAGCACAGCTTTTGCTGTTTCAAATGATTTATATTGCTTTTGGGGACACTGCTTGACTGTTATATACAGAAGTTCAGCAGTGAATTGTTATCTTCTTTTCAACCAATGAAAATAAATACCTGCAAATCTTGGCTTACAAAGCTTGGATTCCATTAAAATGTAATTACCTACCTTTTGTGCCTTATACATTAAGAGTGGCTTAAATGGTGTGTGGCTCCTGTTCAACATAATTACTTTCCTCTGCTGCTTGCATAGTAAGAATGAGGCTCCAGAATAAAGATGACTGTTTAAAGAGGGCTGCTGCCATTCCAAATTATAGAGAGAAAGTTCTGCTTATCAAACTAATTAGTTTACTTGGTAAGATCCTCACTGGAATTTTTGTTACTGGGCATCACAGACCCACAGATGTGGGTCCAGTGCTAATCCATGACCACACAGCTTTTAATCCTGCAAATAATTCTTAGGCATGCAACTACTGACAGGGTTATTCAGGTGCTGAATGACTAGATAATCGAGTGTGTGTGCTTCAACATAGTTCGCTCTTGCAGGGCTGTTTGTACAATGCTGCGTGGGTGTGTTTTATCTTGCTTGGAAGGTTTTGGGGAGCGGGATGGCTGTGCAGGGCTTGGTTGCTCTGCCTTGCAGAGCAACTGCTGGGTATTCTGAATTTACTCTTTCCATGTGCCCTGGTCCAGAATCCTGGCCTTCATCTGGGCAAAAGCAGCACTAGATACTGTGGGATAAGAGGGAAGGAGAAAAGTGTGTGCTGTAAAACAGGCATACAAATTTGAGGACTGTTTTTTCATCCTCATTAAAATTCTGGAATGTATGTAGCTCACTCTTCTGGTACTTTTGTTTTGCTGCAAGGATGTGCAGGGTGGTAAAGTATTTCCTTGATGTGAAGGAAGCCAGAGAGAAGACATAGCCCCTGCTACTGCTTTCCTCAGTGTGGCAATGCAGTTTGTCTGGGACACTAACACATGGTGCACTCAGAGCAGCTGGGAAAGGGCTGCGCTCATCCGTTCCCTCCACTGCACAGCCGGGTCACCTCAAGTGTTGAGAGGAAGCACCCACTCCCACCTCAGGGCTGACCCTGTTATTGGAATCTGTAGGAGAAATACCTTTGATAAGGCATTTAATGTATCTGAATGAATGTGTTTGTAAATATCAAATGTATGTACATACCTTTCATTAGGTTTTATATTGAGATGTTCCAGTTTGTGGCCCACGAGCTAAATGTGTTCTGAGGATAATTCTGTTGCATTTAAACTTTTAGCACAGCTGAACAATTCCCTGAACTAGCCAAATTCTGCTCTCCTTAAATCCAGATGTTTTTTGTCTTGTTAAAAAACGTGAAGAAAAAATGTTGGTTTGAAACACTGACAAACAGGGAAAACAACCATCAGATAAATGTAATAACCAAAGTTTGGCTTCTGCTGAGAGTACCCTGGCCCTATCCATAGTTGAAAGATGCCAGTCTGGTTCCTTTGGCTTTAATGCAAGTAAGCTGGTTTTACCAAGGCTGATAATTGCTTGACTGTCTGTGTTTTGCAAATGGGACAGAGAGGAAAGAATCATATTCACAACGAACAGTAGCACCTTAAGGGTCAAGGGTTTGTCTTCTCATTCATGGTGACACTTGTTATTTAATCTGAGATGTTTTTTATTAGTTTTTCTTTTTTTGGGTTTGGGTTTTTTTTTGGGTGTCTGTGTGTGTTTTTTGAAGTAAGAAAGAAAGGCAGGATTCAAAGGAAAAAAATGGAATCTGGATTAAGGCAAACATGGGTCTACTTGCTTCCTGCTTTGGTTCCAGGAAAGATGCTTCACAGGATCTCAGTTTCCGTCTCTCTGTAGGGCCTGTTGTGTGGTGTTTTGCGGTGGTATACACAAGGCTATATTTATGTTCCCAGTGAGAGCTGTTATTTCCCCTGTTACAAGGTGACGTGATACCAGAGCCCCTAATGCCTTTAATTCATATTAATTTTTTAAGCTCCTCTGTGAACTTCCTGTAGAATTCCCTTTACCACAGTGCCCTATAGCACAGTGGAAGTTACTGCAGATGGTAGTATACTATACAAACTTTCACTTGTACTGTCGCATTGTTCCCTTATTTACCCCAAATTAGCCAGAGCAGCAGATACTCCCTAGCCTCTTCCCTACGTTAGGGTACCAGCTGGCTGGACATACCGTTCTCTAATCACCCCAGGCCAAACTTCAGTTGTCTCTCGAATGCGAGTAGGTGTTTGTCCCAGGCAAAGGGAGAAAGGTTGGCAATGGAGAAGCTGAAGAAACAAGTGATATTTCTCACCACGCTCTGGAGTTGCTCTCATATTCAGGGAAAGCCAAAAGCTGACAATGAAACAGAAAGGAAGCAAGGGAGGGGTATGTGTGGGTAGTGTGTGCAAAGCTTTCTTCCAGCTCTCCACTGAGCCATGACCCGGTTTCTCCAGGAGCTGCCTGCTGTTTTCTTATTTTCGAAGCAAGTTCCTGAGACAATGCTTTGCATGCCAAACAGGGTCAGCTGCTCAGATAGGAAGGGTTCTGCACTGGACGTGCACCCTGCTGTCCATTTTCACTAGCACCTTGAACGCTCACTTTTTAAATTTCTTTTCCTCCTGTTTTCTCTTTCCTTCTTCAAAATGAGGAAACAAAATTAGTTCTTAATATGCATAGAGAAAACAAGGGGAACTTTCGGAGGTATTGAATGAAATTTATTGCAGTGACTGCTAGTTGCTAACTTTCTGTGGTTATTGTTATCTTAACAGAATCCAAGAAGAAGAAAAAGGAAGGCAAGAAACAAGAGAAGATGCTGGATTAATGGAGCCAACTTGGGCAATGTGAGAAAGGGACATCAGCAAACACGATCAGTTAACAGTTTCATTTATACCTAGGCATTTTATCCTAAAATTATTTATAGCTTAATGGTACCATAGAAAGAAACAAACAAATACAGAAAAAAAAATTTTTTTTTTTTTACTTTAGTATTTTTAATGTATAACCCTAACAACAGTTTTTAGAGGCCTGTAATAAAGGACTCCAAACTCATTTAGAAAATTATGTCTATTGTATATTGAACAATGTAGAGGTTTTTAAAATATTTTTTTCTCAAGTCTTGCCATAGGTCTCAATCTCGTAATTACTCCATACAATCAGGACCTGAACCTCTGTGGAGTTCTGCTGAAGCCAGTGGTGCCCTGTGTGAACACAGGAATCTGGCTGGATGCAATTATATTTAAGATTGGGCCTTTATATCTGAAAAAAACAGACTTGTTTCTTAAGTTCTTATTACATCTGGATAACTGTATGAAATTGTTTAAGGAAAGGATGGGGGCATTTTGTTGAGTATTTACAGGCATAGAATTTTTTTGGATGTGTAGTGAATGATCATTCCAAGATGCCGCTATCTCCAGGTGAAAACCAGTAGCACTCCTATCCTTGGCCATATTTTGCATGTTAGCAGTAAAAATTCTGAAGTCTTTCAACAGCTGGAAATAGAAGAGTCCTAATTTTTCACGATTTTCTAGCAATGATTTTTCCAAGTGGAATGATAGCAAAACTTCCAATTTTTTAGCATTTCAATGCTGGTAGGTGATAGTGTTTTACCTGTAAAAGCTGGAAAATGCTTTTTTATTCATTTATTTTGCCAGAAGGGAGAATATCCTTTTCACAAAAATCTAGTTGAAATTGTTGTGATTCTGCCTGACCCAACTTGCTTTTGTATCATTTGATTATTCCTGTTGATTTTAATTATAACTTGTTGAAAATAGCATGTTTGGTGGGAAATAACAGAAGAAATCTATTTGGAAACTGCCTGGGATTGTCCCTTTTTTGGTCAAAAATATGAACTATTTGTGGGACTTGAGACTCATGGGAATGAAATTAATTTTAGTTTGTCTGTTAGTAAAGCAGAAGGGAGATATAAAACTAGTACCTTTCACTTTCTTCCATTTTTATATGTGGAAAAAGACCTGGCAAAAGCTCAGTTAAGAATAGTTCTGTGATTTTTTATTTTTTTTTAATGGTCTGCAGGGAAAAAAAAAATTCTAACCAACTGGGTTTTGCATTTTTTCAATTTTACCAGTTTTAAATTATGATAATTCCTGAAAAAAGTCACAAAGTAGAAAAAAGATCTGACAGAGGCCTGGTCTGTGCCTAGGTAAAGGGTTTTTTAACAAACTAAACAACCAGCAGACCAGACATTTTAGAGGAAACATAAGGGATTTCAGTGCCCAAATTAATTTAAAAATCATTGCTTTTAAATTCTCAATCTTAAAATTTGGCAGCAAGAAATAAGCCTTGCCATTTGGGTGGGCTGCAGTCTTGCCCGCTGGTGAAGAGGAATAGTCTCCCTTGTCCTGCTGCGGGTACCCACTGACTTCAGCGGAGCAGGAGCAGGGTGTGTTCATCTGAGTAAATCACATTGCTCTCTTGGGAACAGCTTGTAGACAAGCAGAGAATCTTTTTACAGACTAACATCACTCCCCTTTTCTATGCAAATATGTGTAACAATTGCAGAGCTTGCCCTCTTTTTTCTCACATGGGAGGGTATGGCTGACCTGAACTCACAGTGAGGCAAGTCCTTCTGTAGACGTTCCCAAACCCCTTTGAAGCCAGCTAGCCAAGGCTGCACATAGCTCAAGGTAGACTAGCCACACAATTATTTCCCAGACTCCTTGGGTGTGTTTTGCAGTCGGTATTGATGTCCTTGTTATTTTGACTATGCTGTTAGACATACCTGAGCCAGTGGTATAGTTAAAAATGTCCCCAGCATGTGGTGGATGTGCAATTGAGCCACCCAAATGTGGCTCACATTTGGGTTGTTCTGGGTGCTATTTGGTTTGTTCATGGTCTAATCAGGTCTACCTGTGCTTGTGCCTCAGACTTAAGCTAATGGAATGGTAGGTCTGATTGAAAGCAAAGGGAGAAAGAAACTTTTTCACTCACCAAAGGTTTGTCTGTCTAAATGCTGCATCAGTTCACTTAAAGTGGTTCAGCTTTGAGTGCAAACACTGTTGCACCATTGTCTTACACTGGTTAATCTAGTCCATGTTTCATAGGGAGCTGGCAGGAGTTGGGAATATGCCTAGACCAACACTTCGACTATCCTTTAGTAAACCTTAGATGTGACTTCTGATTTCTATCTCTGTGAGTAAGAAGAAAATAAATTCTTCTGTGTTTCCTCTGACACCTTATGGCCCTTACGACTAACTGCCCATCTGGCTTGTTAAAGGAACATTCCTAATAGTTTTTGAATGAGGCCAGTCAAGTTCTTATGGTGGTGTAGGGTCTCCACAGAGAGAGTTTACAGAAAACAAAGAAACAAACAAAAAAGTATCATGTTAGGACCAGAAGAAAGCACAGCAGTCCTGGTAACAAAGGGTGTGAAATAGGAGAACACTTCCTCTGTACTACTCGGCCACATATGTCTGGATCTATATTGGCATGTTATTATGGACAGTAATTGGAGTTGTACCTGTCATTTGTAAATGATGAAGAAAATTTCCAAGAAACCAGCACAAAGCATTCTGAGGAAACTGGCTATGAAGGAGTTGATAAAGGAAATTCATGGCAGAAAACAGAGGAAAAGTGACTAGAATAGGTAAGTCAAGTCAGCTCTGAAAGGAGGCACCTGGTACCTAAGAGGAGCAGTCGCTGCACTAGTAACATTGTAAAGAAAGCAAGAGGCAAGTATCTGAAAAAAACCTCTTCCCACCCTAGCTTGCTCAGTTTCCACTTCAGTCATTCTGAAATTTGTCCTTATGGGCTTTCTGATCTTCTACCCTCTCTCCTTTGGGAGGGAAAGCTGGTGTGACAGTGCTGTGGGGCAGCTACTTCAGATAGAACAGGTGATTTACCCTTTTGGTGCTCTCCTGTTAAAATGCAAAATGACTTAACATGGATGTGTTGCTTAGCTAGTTTAACCAACTGAAGCTTGTTTCATGAATGCCCCTCTCAAGAAGTGGTTTCCATTTTCATTTGAAATCCCACTAATGACAGTTGCCTTCTGAGCACTCAATCTATTAGAAAAGAGAGAGGTGATTTGCTGAACATCAGCTAAAGGTGAATCTGCATCTGGACTGGATTCTAACAAATTTAAACTTAGGGAAATCTGGGTATGGGTCCCTTCCCTTCTTCTAAGCAATCTGAGCCATGTTTCTAAGCAATTAGGCCTGTCTATATCCTGATTCAAAACAATATTTGAGGATTAGGGCATTTTCTGACTTTGACATGCCTCCTGGCAGAAGTGCCCATATAGAAAGAGAAATATTGCTTATCAGACTGGTATATTTAACTATTAAATACAGCAAAGCTATGGGGAAGGTTTTGCCCTGGGAAGGGAAAACATTTGTTGTACATGCAGTTACATAATAAATTGTAATTTACTGATTCCCATCTTCTAATTCCATAATGACTTTCTGGACAGTACTATTTTTCATAGGAGAAAAATTAGAAGAAAATATAGGATAATAATTATAAAACATATCAATGGTGTTGGAGACTTTTTCAAGAAGAGACAGGTATGAAGTCAGGAACATTTTATACAAACTTCTTTTGCATGTTCCTTGAGTAGGGAAGGCAGGATTACTGCTGGCACATTTGTTTTTATGCTTTGCTTGATTTGTGCCTTAATGAAAACTAATCAAATGTAGAATGTTACAAAGAAGTCCCACTCCAACCTCAAGAGAACATGTCCAACAGGAGGCAATGTCAAAAGGAGACAATAGTATGTCTGTCTTTTCTGATTTAGTAGTGCAAGTTATGATGATGTTAGGAGAAAACATAACGTATTTCTTTAACTCTGGTGTATATCCTTCATCGTTTGATATGTGGCAGTGGACAATTCAAGTGAAACAGTAGAGCATTAGGATGAACTAATGGAAAGTGAATATTTATGGAGACTGTTTATGGAAACAGGCCTATAAAACCCCTGAAACTAACCATTCTGCTACCAGGGAGCATCTGAAGATAAACACTGTATAGCATTTCCATTTGTTTAATGAAATCCCTTAACATATGATGAACTGTACCTGAGTTTGCGTAGGCTAATGTCAGCGATGAGGGTGGGACAAAAGCCAACCTGGCTTTCCCTCAGTCTAGGAACTTCAGCAATATTAACAATGTAAACCTGCCACTTTTTTAAAGCAAAATATTGGTGAGGTACATAATTTTTGACATGACACAGTAGTCTTTCACATCCCCCAAATTCTTACAGGAAGGGGAAGCAGCATGTCAATGGGGGTAGGTGTCTCATATTCAATCTTTTTAAACTCTAGGACAGCATCTTCTGTGAGCTTCTGACAGTATTTGTAAGTTTTCTGTCAGTTCTGCCAAGGCACTCTACCTCTCAGCCAAACTTTTGTGGATATTGTTGATCCTTCCTCATGTTTGAGGCTGTATTCTCCATTTCTTGCTGGATTGTTGCAAAACAGCACCAGCAAGCCCATACAATCAGGTACCTTTCATTCTGTCCTTCTTAGATTGAAAGACACAGTAGCGATATGTTAATCAAAAAATCATAATAAACAAGGAAATATAAGAATGCGCAAAGAGATTTCCTGGATCCATTGGGAGGGTGGCTTGCTGGTAAAACCTTTGTTATAGCTCAACCTGGGCAAGGCTTCCTAGGGGACAGAAATGCATCACATTTGATCGAAAATTAGAGACAATGTTGAAAGACTGTCTGCCTTCAAACAGAAAAAAACCTTAGCTAGATAAATAGTGGCAAGAAGCTTCATCCTTTTCCACTGTGTCCTCTTTTACCATCAAATTAAAGGGAAGAGACACGGTGTGTAGACCTTCAGGGATAGTGGAAGACTTGCCTGAGCAAACTAGAGCATGGAGAGAGCTTCTTCCACCCCATGGGTATTTGCATTTGGAGAAGGCCTAGGTATTCTTGTTCATAGCAGCAGAAAATTTTGTGTGCTTTTGGACCAAAACTAAACAATGTTGAA